TGTCTTCTTGGTGGATTCTACCCTTGAGTATTATGAGGTGACCTTCTGGGTTTCTCTTTATGGCCCTTTTTTTGAAGTCTATTTTGTCTGATATTAGAATTGCTACCCTAGCTTTTTTTTTTTCTTGTCCATTTCGTTGGAAAATTTGTTTTCTGTGTTTGACTTTTAGTCTGTGGTGATCTTTTGTCCTTTGGTGGGTATGTTGTAGGCAGGATATGTGTGGGTCATTCTTTCTTATCCATTCAGTTATTCTATGTCTTTTGATTGTAGCATTTAATCCATTTACATTTAAGGTTATTATCGATAGGTACTTATTCAATGTCATTTTTGTACCTGTGCTTCTCTGTGTCTCTCTCTCTTTTCCTTCCTTTCCTTAAAGCAGTCCTTTTAGTATTTCTTGTAGAGCTGGCTTATTGGCGGCATATGCTTTTAGACTTCTTTTGTCTTGGAAGCTCTTTATTTGTCCTTGTATCTTGATTGAGAGCCTTGCTGGGTAAAGTAGCCTCGGTTGTAGGCGTTTAGTTCTCGTTACTTAGAATATTTATTGCCATTGTCTTCTTGCTTGGAGTGTTTCCATTGAGAATTCAGTAGCTAACCTTATTGGGGCTCCCTTGTATGTTACTTCTTTTTTACCTCCCTTGCTACCTTAACATTCTCTCTTGTCTTGCAATTTTGCCATTTTGATGATGATGTGTCTTGAAGTGGGCCTCCTTGGTTTCCTCTTGATTGGGACTCTGTGTGATTCCTGGATTTGTGTGACTTTTTCTGTCATCATATTAGGGAGACTTTCTCTCATTACTCTTTCAAATACGTTTTCTATCCATCGTTCTTCTTCTGCTTCTGGTATTCCTATTATTCGGATATTATTACATTTCATATTGTCTTGCATTTCTCTTAATCCCTCTTCATTCTTTCTGAGCCTCTTTTCTTTTTCTTGCTCTTTTTGTGAGATGTTTTCTTCTTTGTCCTCCAACTCACTAATCTGATTCCCTGTGTCATCAACTCTACTTTTAATACCTTCTACTGTGTTCTTAAATTCAGAAATTGTATTCTTCTTTTCCTTTTGTCCCTTGCTGATAGTTTCTATTTCCTTTTTCATGTTGATATAGTTTACAGAGAGTTCATTGTAGCTCCCCTGTAGTTTGTGGTAGCTCATTGTGATCTCTTTGAACTTCCTGATAACCAGTGCTTTGAATTCAATACCTGGTAGTTGATTTGCCTCTATTTCATCTAACATTCTTTCTGAGGCTTCCTCCTTTTCTTTCATTTGGGGATTGTTTCTTTATCTTCCCATTGTTTTTGAGAGTCTTCTTATTATCCTCAGCTTATAAATTTGATCTGTTCTGACTCCCTGATTTTATGGTGTGAACTTCTGTGGTAGAATGCCTGTGAATTTCAGTGGTGCCGGCTTTTGCAGGTATCTTTATGTTCTCTGTTTCCACCTACTCCTTATTTTGTGTGTGTGTAATCAGTTGGAGGGGGAGGCCAAATGGTTTATGACAGCAGAAGAGTATTTTATGATAGTTACAATCATATCTGGTAGGAAAGAGGCAGACGATCTTTAGGCTATATATAATGTTAGCTATAATCTTCAGCCCAACTTGCCACTTTTAGGAAAAGATGGAGAAAAGATAAGCCTCTTGTTGGGGAGGGTAGGCTTGTGAGTTGGGACTAGAAAGTAGTGAGGTTTCATACCATCATATTTTGAGGTAAGGTGAGAGTAAGTAGTAGTAATAGGTGCATTTCATGAGCAGAGTTAATTACTCCAGTAATAGAATTCAGGTACTTGTAAAGTGGGCTAAGATCTGGGAGATTAGTTGTGAAGGGTTTAATGTTGTATACAACAGGTATTATTTACAGTAGTATTAGAGCAACAGTTCTGTGACCAACTCTATGAGATCAGTCTGAATAGGGAGTGTAGAGCTTTGGGTAGTGTGCTAAAGGAAAACAAGAGGTGTAAGGTATAGAAAATTTAAATACATTGTGGAGGAAAGAACGCAGGAGACCTGTCAGATAAAACAATATAATCTGCCAAGACTAAGAAGCCTATACAGGAGGAGGGGGAATACAAAGATACTATTAGAATATAAAAGAAGTGATAATAATGAAAAAAATACAAGTATGCAGCAACAAACAAAGAAAAGAAAACAGCACACAAAAAAGGCAGGAGAAGGGAGTAAAAACTGATAAGTTTGGGAAGAAGGGAAGAAGGACTAAAACAGGAAAAAAGAAAGAAGAGGATCAAAGTATTGAAAGGTAAAGCAATAATAAAATTCAAAATAAATGAGATTACAAAAAAAAACCCACAAGACAAAACAAAAAAAGCTTTTTTTTGTTGGTTTTAAACTGTCCAAACTGGTTTTTCTGGTCGCAGCAGGACCTCTCTGTGCGCGCCAGCCAGGCTACCAGACTGGGATGCAAGCGCCCGCATTCCCGCCAGGCTGCCTGGTTCCCTTGCTCTCTGACACAATAATTCCTCGCTGCCAGGCTGGGTGGTAAGCAAGCCAAGCCCTCACAGTAGAGCACCTGAGTCCACTTTAAGAAAATATATAATAATAATAATAAAGCCTCACTAGACATCCTGCCTCTCAGCCTAGCCCAATCCCGAGCCACACAGGTGGCAACCATGCACCTCTCAATTCTCCAGGGCTGGCAACCACAGAGTCCTCTCAGTTCTTCCAGACTGGCAACCAGAGTCCGCAGATAAACACGGCCCTTTGTTTTTGTTGCTCTCTGCTCTCTGTGTAAACTCAATCGCACAGGCCTCGCCTGCGCTGCCCAGACAGGAGAAAACTGCTGACCCTCACTGGTCACCTACCGGGGCTGCTTGGTACCCCCACTCCCGAGAGGGATGCCTCCTGTGCTGGTCACAGCCCCGCTGCTGTGGCCATAGCACCGGGGCCACCCAGCTGCGGGCGCCGGCCCTGCTGCCACTCCTATCTCCACTGGACTGCCCCATGCACCACTAACCTGCTGCTGATCAGAACCTCAGCGTCCCTCACAATCACTGCTCTCCCAACTTCATAAGTGCTGTGGATCTATTACTTAATTACACTGTTTCTCAGTAGCTCAGCCATGCTTTTCACCCACGCGTAGGTGAGCTGGAGTACTTCCATCCTTCTCTGTCGCCATCTTCCTCTCCTCCCTGTAATGTTTTAATTCAATTTTTCACTTACTTATATTTAGGAACAAAACTGATTTTTATATTCCAGGGTATTATTTTGTATACAGATATCATTATTGCTTTCTGGAGTTATAGTTTTAGTGCATAAGCATAAATAAAAGAATTAAAACATTTATATAGATACAGAGTTAGTACCACCCATATATAATGTGCATCCTTATTTTTCCCTCAAAAATTTGGGCAAAATTGTGCATTATACATTCCAAAATATGTAGTTTAGGGTTCAGTCAAAGGCTGTGGCAGATTTTGTAGTCATATTTGGAGACTCACCCTATGAGTGTTTTTTTTTTTTTTTTTTTTTTTTTTTTTTTGCTTCCGGGCCTTCCCCCAGAATTTTCAGCTCTTTAGCCAGCCTTGAGTTACTTCCCCTTAGATATATATTTTATCTTTTTTTTATTGTTGTTCAAATACAGTTGTTTTCATTTTCCCTCCACATTAGCCATCCCATGTCCCACCCTCAACCCTACCCACCTTCACCCAGCACAGTTCTTTTATCTGTGATTTAGTGGAAGACTCCTCTATTGTTTCTGCCTGCACTTTTTAAACATGAAGTTTTCCTTGTATATGTATAGTGTAGCTATTAGCTAGGATTTGGGACAGAATATGTACTCAGATTTGGGGTACCATCCCTACTGTGGCTTTCTTGCTTCTAGGACTCCCATACCTAAATTTCATGATTTATCTGCCACTTTGAGCCAGTAAGGCAGTGTTATCATAGCATATGAGTTACAAGTTTGGAGGAGGAAATTCAGGAAAGAAAAGCCACAAGTATTTTTAAACTGTTGCTGTTACCATCTTTCATGGGTAAACTTTCCTCAACTTTTTGTCTGCTTTCAGTCACTTTCCATTGCTTTCATATAGTCTTCCTCTATATTTCTTTCTATTAATCTATATATTTATTTAAAGTTTATAACTAATAGGCATAAGAAATCATACGTACAAATTTAGTTTGCTGTTACCAAAACCTGTCTCATTTATTATTATTTTAATTTGCATTGATATTAACAGCAATTTTGAAAAATTTCATGTTTATTAGCCATTTTTATTCATTTTATGAATTTTCTGTTTATGTCATTTACCCATTTTTCTTTGTGCGCTTTTATCTTATTTATTTGTAAGAATTCATTGTTTTTTGAAGATATTAATTCATTAACATTCTAATTTTGAGGCTCAAATAAAATGTGTTTTAAAATTTAAGGTTTTGGATTCATTGTGATTGATATATTGGTTTTTCATGTTCATGTGGGATCATTTAGTAGAATGTACAAGGTAAGGAATTTGTTTTTACTAGAGATTCTGCTGTGCAGAGAAGAGAGCTCTTGCATTTTTATAAGACAATGTCTTATGGTTAGCTTTTATAATGTACAGGACAGTGTTTGTAGTGACTTTCCAAAGCAAAATCTTGCCAAATATATTACCTTTGTACTTTCTGATGACCATTTTTTAAAAGATTTTATTTATTTATCTTTATAGGGGAAGGGAAGGAGAGAGGGAGAGAAATATCAATGTATGGTTGTCTCTCATGTGTCCCCTGCTGGGAACTGGCCTGCAACCCAGGCATGTGCCCTGACTGGGAATTGAACCGTGATACTCTGGTTCATAGGCCCGCGCTCAATCCACTGAGCTACACCAGCCAGGGTTGATGTCCATTTCTTAATCATAATAATTTGTTATACTTACCCACCACTATTATTAATAGGCTGCTGCATCTATTCATCAGAGAAAATATTGCAATTTAATTAATATCTGCTAGGGACATTGTGGGTCCTTAGTAGAACTCTATTCAAACATTGTTCTTTTTCTATTTTGTCCCTAGGAATACACCATTGATGTATTTTTTCGACAGACATGGCATGATGAAAGATTAAAATTTGATGGACCCATGAAGATCCTTCCACTGAACAACCTTCTGGCTAGTAAGATCTGGACCCCTGACACCTTCTTTCACAATGGCAAGAAATCGGTGGCCCATAACATGACAACACCTAACAAGTTGCTCAGACTGGTGGACAATGGAACCCTCCTCTACACAATGAGGTCAGAAAGTGGTACTTCTATCTAAAGTATACTTGGGGGTAGGGCTGGGGTAGAAAGCAGCATGTTTTAAGCTATCCACCAAAAATTCTTTCAAGTTTACAGATTATAAATGTACATATAGGCGTGTGCTTCCTAACATAATTTTCAGGTAGACACATGCATAGACATATATATTATAGATACACATATAAATGGACAGTTGGCCATGTAAACATTCTTATAAACACAGATATATATTCATGAAATCTGTGCCTACTCCAAAACACATGTGGAATAACACACAAGCATATACATATACAAGAATACCTAAATACACAGATTTACAGCCATATACAGAGGTATGAACACCGTAACAAAATAAGCTAGGTTTTTATTTTATGTTTTATTTAATTGTTGTACAAGTACAGTTTTCTGTCTTGTACTCCAATCCCAACCCAACCCCCGACAGCTCCCCACCTGCCTCCAATTTCCAACCCCCTTAGTTGTTGTCCATGTGTCCTTTATACTTGTTCCTGTAAATCCTCTTCCTTTATCCCCTGATATTCCCTCCCCTCTCCCCTCTCCCCTCTGGTCACTGTCAGCCTGTTCTCTATTTCAGTGTCTTTGGTTATATTTTGCTCGCTTGCTTGTTTTAGATTCCACTTAAAGGTGAGATCATATGGTATGTGTCTTTCACCACCTGGCTAATTTCACTCAGCATAATGCTTTCCAGTTCCATCTATGCTGTTGCAAAGGTTAGGAGCTCCTTCTTTCTTTCTGCTTCATAGAATTTCATTGTGTATATGTACAATACTTTTTGGATCCATTCATTTACTGATGGGCACCTAGGTTGCTTCCAACTTTTGGATATTCTAAACTGTGCTGCCATGAACATTGGGGTACAAAGGTTCTTTTGGATTGGTGTTTTAGGGTTCTTAGGATATGATCTGAGCAGTAGAATTGCTGATTCAAAAGGCAGGTCCATTTTTAGTTTTCTGAGAAAATTCCATAATGTTTTCCATAGTGGTTGTACCATTTGCAATCCCACCAAAAATTGATTAGGGTTCCCTTTATTCCACAGCCTCCCCAACACTTGTTTGTTGATTTGTTTATGATGGCCATTCTGACTGGTGTAAAGTGGTATCTCATTGTGGTTTTAATTTGCATCTCTCTGATAGCTAGCGATACTGAGAATCTTTTCATGTGTCTCTAGATCTTCTGTATGTCCTCCTTGGAGAAATGTCTGTTCAAGTCCTATGCCCACTTTTTAATTGGGTTGTTTGTCTCCTTAGAGTGGAGTCATGTAAGTACTTTGTATATTTTGGAGATTAAACCTTTGTCTGAGGTATCATTGGAAATATGTTTTCCCATACAGTTGGTTGTCTTCCTTATTTAATACTGTTTTCTTTAGCCATGCAGAAGCTTTTTATTTTGATGAGATCCCATTTGTTTATTCTTTCCTTTACATTCCTTGCTCTAGGGGACGTATCAGTAAAAAAGTTGCTGTGTGAAATATCTGAGATTTTCTTGCCGATGTTCTCCTCTAGCACTTTAATGGTGTCACGGCTTATATTTAAGTCTTTTATCCACCTTGAATTTATTTTGGTGTATGGTGTAAGTTGGTGCTCAAGTTTCATTTTTTTGCACGTAGCTGTCCAGTTCTCCCAACACCATTTGTTGAAGAGGCTATCTTTACTCCATTTTATGTTACTGCCCCCCTTTGTCGAATATTAATTGACTGTAGAGAGTTGGGTTTATTTCTGGGCTCTCTGTTCTGTTCCATTGGTCTATGTGCCTGTTTTGATGCCAGTACCAGGCTGTTTTGATTACAGTGGCCTTGTAATACACTTTGATATCAGGTATTGTGATCCCCCCTACTTTGTTCTTCTTTCTCAAAAGAGCAGCTGCTATTCGGGCTCATTTATGGTTCCATATATATTTTCGAAGTGTTTGTTTCATGTCTGTGAAATATGCCATTGGTACTTTAATAGGTATTTCATTGAATCTGTATATTGCTTTGGGTAGTATGGACATTTTGATGATGTTAATTCTTCCAATCCATGATTATGGTATATGTTTCCATTTGTTTGTGTCTTCCTTGATTTCTTTCTTCAGGGCTGTGTAGTTTTCTGCATACAGGTTTTTTACCTCCTTAGTTAGGTTTATTCCCAGATATTTTATTTTTGTTTTTGCTATATCAAATGGGATTTTTTCCTTGATTCCTGCTTCTGCTGATTCACTGTTGGTATACAAAAATGCCTTTGATTTTTGGCTATTGACTTTGTAACCAGCTGTTTTGCCAAATTTATGTATTAGGGTGAGCATTTTTTGGGTAGAGTCTACAGGATTTTCCATATACACTATCATGTCATCTGCAAACAGTGACAGCTTTGCTTCCTCCTTTCCTATTTGGATGCCTTTTATTTCCTTTTCTTGCCTGATCACTGTGGCTAAAACTTCCAATACTATATTGAATAGAAGTGGTGAAAGTAGACATCCTTGTCTTCTTCCTGATCTTAGTGGAAAAGCTTTTAGTTTTTTTCCCATTGAGTATGATATTGGCTGTAGGTCTCTCATATACGGCCTTTATTATTTTGAGAAATGCTCCCTCTATTCCCACGTTGCTGAGTGTTTTTATCATAAGTGGGTGTTGTACCTTATCGAAAGCTTTTTCCGCATCTATTGATATGATCATGTGATTTCTGTCTTTGCTTTTTTTTATGTGATGTATTACATTTACTGATTTGTGAATATTGAACCATCCTTGCATCCCTGGAATGAATCCCACTTGGTCATGGTGTATGATTTTTTTGATATATTGTTGGATGCGATTTGCCAATATTTTGTTGAGGATTTTAGCATCTATGTTCATCAGCGATATTGGCCTGAAGTTTTCTTTTTTTGTTGTGTCTCTATCTGGTTTTGGAATTAAGATGATGCTGGCTTCATAAAAAGAGTTTAGGAGTTTTCCATCCTTCTGGATTTTTTGGAATAGTCTGTGGAGAATAGGGGTAGCTCTTCCTTAAATGCTTTGTAGAATTGTCCTGGGAAACCATCTGGTCCAGGGCTTTTGTGTGATGGGAGTTTTTTGATTACTGCTTCAATTTCTTTTGCTGTTATCGGTGTGTTTAGATTTTCTGCTTCTTTTTCACTGAGTTTTGGAAGATTGTATTTTTCTAGAAATTGTTCCATTTCCCTTAGGTTTTCAAATTTCTTGGCATACAGTTCTTCATAGTAATTTCTTACAATCCCTTCTATTTCTGTGGTATCAGTTGTAATCTCTCCTCTTTCATTTCTGATTGTGTTTATTTGTGTCCATTCCCTTCTTTTCTTGATGAGCCTACTTAAAGGCTTGTCTATTTTGTTTATCTTCTCAAAGAACCAACTCCTGGATTCACTGATCCTTAAAATTGTGCTTTTAGTTTCTATGTCATTTAATTCTGCTCTAATCTTGGTTATTTCCTTTCTTCTGCTTGCTCTGGGCTGTCTTTGTTGTTTTTCCTCAAGTTCTTGCAGGCGTAGGGTTAGGTTGTTCGTTTGAAATGTTTTTATCTTCTTTAGGTAGGCCTGTATTGCTATAAACTTCCCTCTCAGGACTGCCTTTGCTGTGTCCTATAAGTTTTGGGTTGTTGTGAGATCATTTTCATTTGTTTACAGAAACGTTTTGATTTCTTCCCTAATTTCAGTCTTTACCCATTCGGTGTTTAATAGCATACCATTCAGTCTCCATGATTTTGGGTGCTTTGGGTTTTTTCCTTTGGGGTTGGTTTCCAATTTCGGTCCCTTGTGGTCAGAGAAGATGCTTGGTATGATTTCAATTTTCTTGAATTTGTTGAGGCTCGTTTTGTGTCCTATCATGTGGTCTATCTTTGAAAATGTTCCATGTGCATTTGAAAAGAATGTGTATTTAGCTTCTTTGGGATGAAGGGCTCTATATATATCAGTTAAGTCCATTTTATCTAGGGTGTTGTTTAATGCCACAATATCTTTGTTGATAATTTGTTTGGAAGATCTGTCTATTTTTGATAGTGGGGTGTTAAAATCCCCTACTAGAATTGTGTTGCTGTCAATATCTTTCTTGAAGTCCTCTGAGATTTTCTTGATATTTTTTGGTGCCCCTATGTTTGGTGCATATATGTTTACAATGTTAATGTCTTCTTGGTGGATTCTTCCCTTGAGTATAATGAAGTGACCTTCTGGGTCTCTCTTTATGGCCTTGTTTTGAAGTCTATTTTGTCCGATATGAGAATTGCTACCCCAGCTTTTTTTTCTTGTCCGTTTGCTTGAAAAACTTGTTTCCAGCCTTTCACTTTAAGTCTGTGATGGTCTTTCGTCCTGACGTAGGTCTCTTGTAGGCAGCATATGTGTGGGTCATACTTTCCTATCCATTGAGCTATTCTGTGTCTTTTGATTGGAGCATTTAATCCATTTATATTTAAGGTTATTATTGATAGGTACTTATTCATTGCCATTTTTGTACCTGTGTTCCTCTCTGTCTCCCTCTTATCCTTCCTTCCCTTAAAGCAGTCCTTTTAGTATTTCTTGTAGGGCTGGTTTGGTGGAGGCATATTCTTTTAGGCTTGTTTTGTCTTGGAAGCTGTATATTTGGCCTTCTATCTGGATTGAGAGCCTTGCTGGGTAAAGTAGCCATGGTTGTAGGCCTCTGGTTCTCATTACTTGGAATATTTCTTGCCATTCTCTTCTTGCTTGAAGTGTTTCCATTGAGAAGTCAGTAGCTAACCTTATTGGGGCTCCCTTGTATGTTACTTCTTTTTTCTCCCTTGCTGCCTTTAAGATTCTCTCTTTGTCTTGGAATTTTGCCATTTTGATGATGATGTGTCTTTAGTGGGCCTCCTTGGGTTCCTCTTGATTGGGACTCTCTGTGATTCCTGGATTTGTGAGACTATTTCTCTTATCAAATTAGGGAAATTTTCTCTCATTATTCGTTCAAATACGTTTTCTATCCCTCGTTCTTCTTCTTCTCCTTCTGGTATTCTTATTATTCGGATATTATTACGTTT